AGACTCTTATCTCCAATAAACCACCAGAAAACCAGAAGTGGCGCTGTAGCTCAAGTGGTAGAGCACTTGCCTTGAGCTGAAGAGCTGAGGGACAGCGCTCAGGCCCAGAGTTCAAGCCCCACGACCGAAAAAAAAAAAAAGAACTGTACAACTAATAGCTGGAGAAGAGCTGGGCTGAGACAGCTTGCTTGGCTCCACAGATGGAACTTGAAAGTTCCCTGATGGTCAACCCTCAGCAATGGGGAGACTGAAGTCAGTGGATAAACACTCCGGCCTTCTTATCATCCAGAGAGACAGTGTTGTACGATGTTCCCCTCTGGTTGCTTAGTGGGTTTCCAGCAAGGCTGAACACCAGTTGCCCACAGCAGTAACTAGCAAATCAACAAACTTTGGTAGTATTGGCTTCCTGCCCTTCCTTACTCATTACTATTTTTTGTTATGCTTGGGATGCTTCCCAAATAAATTACCCTCATTCAAGTCCCCATCTCAAAGTCTGCTCTTGAGAGAGTCCAGACAAAGATGAGTGATTTCCAATCCAAAAGTGTGTCTGAGCAGGTTATGCTGTCCCTAGGAATTTGTCCCTAAGTCCTCATCTGCTTCTATGACTAGTCTCAGCTAAGAAGCAACTACATAAGAGTCTGGGCATACCTATGTTTCAGGAACTCTGAGTTTTGTTTGGGTGACTGGATCTGTGCACGCACCAGAAAGACAAAGTGGTTTTTGGTGGCCTGGGAAATAGAATTTGTGGCTCTTCACCTCCTTTGTTAATCTAAAGGTGGACACCTCCAGGCTCCAAAGGACCATGAATACAGGTGCTTATGCTTCCTCTCCACTCTACTGCTCCACTGTCATGTTAACACATCCCATAGTGAGAAGCAATTCACTTCCACAGGCAAGGTCTTGGCCCAGCAAGAGGCCCACATGGCCTGTGAAAAGGAGAAGATTATCAAGAAGGATATCTTAGAATTGTTCAGATGAAGAGGCTCAGAAAACACAGAACAATTCCTGCTCTCACAGAAACTATTGGGGCTCTTCACCAAGCTAAATTTAAGGAATCAAAGTATTGTAGGATAGTCCTTGAAAGGAGTCATTCAGAACTCTAAATAATCAAGCAGTCAAGTATCTAAACGGTAGGAGGGATGTTTTTATCTTAGCACAGTGCCCACCATTCCACTGCACCAGAATAGACAGAAGGGCTGGGATGTAGACAGCCTTTGATTTCTGGCTTCTGTTTCAAAGACTGGTTTTGCCTTGACAAGTGAGGCTGTCACTGAACAAACTTGTACTGAGTGCCAGATTCAAAGATGACTAAAACACGCTCCCGTGCTCAATATAGTCACCATCCAGAAAGCTGCTGTCCAAAATTAGTCCCAGCCACATAAAATTAGATGTCATTTCTTTTCTAGGAGGAGTCTTGAAGGACTTCTGACTATATGGGTATAGGTAGAGTTTTCTGAGATAGGTTTGGAATGAGGAAAATATTTTTAAGGAGGTATAATGTAGAAAGGAGATGGAAGAGGATGGGAGTTCTTGTTTTGCTGCTGTAACTAAGTACATATTTATTTTTTTGAATCTGTTTCTTGAGGCTGGGATGTCCAAAATCAAGGGGTTGATACCTGGTATGGGCTTTCTTTGAAAATGGTGGAAGACAGAAAGGCAAGATAGTGCTCATCTAAGGGAAAGAGAGATAGGGGCCAATCTCTTCCTCTTATTAGAAACCCAGTTCTTTAATAAAGCATTAATTCATTCACCTAATCACCACTTAAAGCTCCCACTTCTTAGAACTATTTCATTAAACACTGAATGTCCAGTACATGAACTTTGGCAAACACATTCAAACCATAGTAAGAGGACTGAAAAAGAAGAATATCTTCTTAAGCCCTATTCCATGAAGTCTTCCTCACCCCACACCCCTGTGTTTAGCTAGGAAGTGACTCTTTCAAGTTCTGGATGTCTAGGAGCCCACCTAAACCCTCTAGGAAAGAACTTTCCAGATCTCCCTCCATATACCTGGTCCATTTGTATGCTTTTGGTGCACCACAAATATTTTAACGAAAGGAGTAGGAAAGGTTTAAACAAATAGGATCACACATGAGCAGGTGAATTTCCAGCTGGAAATACCAGAAGGCCAAAAATTCCTCAAATTGAATAAGGAACCAAAGGGCAGCATCCTAACATATGTTGTAGAAGCTGTGAGGGCTGGGAATGTGGCTTAGTGGTAGTGTGCTTGCCTAGCATGCATGAAGCCCTGAGTTCGATTGCTCAGTACCACATACATAGAAAAAGCCAGAAAGGGTGCTGTGGCTCAAGTGATAGAGTGCTAGCCTTGAGCCAAAGAAGCTCAGTGAGTGCCCAGGCCCTGAGTTCAAGCCCCAGGACTGGCAAAAAAGAAAAGAAAAGAAAGAAAAAAGAAAAAAAAAACAAACAGAAGCTGTGAGGCAGGTTCCCTTGACTCCAAAAGGCCATGGGCTAACTCATCCCCAAAAGGCCATGGGCTAACTCATGCCTCCATAAAATTTTAATAAAATAGGTCTTTCTGGGAAGTAGCAAAGCCTTTCTGGTCCTTGTATTTGCTCTTTCCTTTTCATACCTCATTTTCATAAGCACAAAGGACATGAAGCTAGAGCCACTCCACCCTCTCCCTATAGCTGGTTTAGACTAGTGGCTACTAGCTAAGCTTTATAAACAAATAAAACAGGTTTCCAAACCATAGGCCTGGTGAAGAAAACCACAGAAGGGAATACAAAGAAAAAGAATGCAACTTTTCTCTCTCCCAAGGAACCTCCCTGGGCCACCAGTGATATCCCCTCTACTAACACTGTTACATGTCCATTGATGTCCATTGTGTACCAGTCACACATTTGATCCTGAGGAGAAACTGCCCCTGCTATTGCAACATTCATATTGTGACGATGGAAAAATATGTAAATGGGTGGGGACCTCAAAGGGTATCTGGTGCCAAGATGGAAGTGGGTACAGGGCACAGGTGGGGATTTCAAAGGAAATTGTGTCCACTGTGGAGGCAGGAAGGAGGACTCCATTAAAAAGTGTTTCTTAAAAAATAAGCTTTTTAAGAGCAGTTTTTGATTGACAGAAAAGGGAGGTAACAGCAATGTGAGAATCTCTTATTCCCTTTGCCACCCCCAACACAATGGTTTATTCTTTATAACTGATGAGCCTACACTGCCATGCCTTTATCACCCAAAGTCCATGGCTTATTAAATTAGGACTCGCTCTAGTGAGTGGACACTCTACATGTTTGCACAATGTACAAGGACATGTACCCACCATCACAGTATCACACACATACAGAGTACTTTCACTGCCTTAAAATACTCTGAGAATTTTTGGAGGAAAAAGACATTTGCGTCTCACTAGATGTTTCCTTCCTAGTAGAGGGATCCGCAGGAATCATGTTCATCAAGGGTGCTGTTCCGAAAATGACTGGAAAATGAGTCTCAAGGTGTCAGATGGGGAAGGGAAAAAGAAAAAGACAGAAACACACCAGATTTGCATATCATACAAATAGATTTGCATGTGAATAGATTGAGGTGTCTGCCCAGGGGAGAAATGAAACCTGATTTAGACAGTGAAAAGTATCAAACTGCAACAGAGAGCAAAAAGACTAGGGACTTGGATCCAGCTTCAGACCCATATCTGGAAGGACATGGGTCCATAACCCTGGACAGGCAGCTCCAGTAGAAAAGCCCTATACTCTCGCTCACACATGCCTGTAGCCTTCATTCACCTTGGAGGATTATGACTGTGTCTATGACCATTGGGTAGAAGGGTATTTTTCTTGAAATGATCTCTGATGCTTCCTCTTCCCTCTTTCCTTGGAGGTTTATGGTTTGCCAAAGCAGGAGGAATGAATAATGGCTTTTGCTTTCCAAAGTTAAGTTACTATTCATGGTTTACCTGAAGAGTAAAGGAAGGGGAACTGCAGAGGGACATGGGAACTTTGGAAAAGTAGACAATCATTTTTGCAAGACCCGAGTCCCCACACTCTACAGGGGTTTGCTACAAGTTTCCAGCTCCAAAAGCTAAGGGGCTAGGAACAAGAATAAACTACCAGCTGAAAACAAGAATGGCCCCACAGATTCTTGGAGCCTCTGTAGATCCTACTGCCCTGTGATTAGTTTGGGTCAGGACCTTACACACACACACACACATACCAGGCTTGAAGTTACAATTTCTTGTCCCAAGGAATGAGAGCCGGCTGAGAGAATTAGATAGATGCAATTAAATAAAGGGGTGCATTGTTTCTGGTACATACTTCTGTCCACTATCCGGGCAGAGTTTGGGTCTCATCCATCACCATGGTCCTGCTGCAGGAAGGGCAGACAGAGAGGGCAGTGTGCACCAACCCCCTACGTAAGGAGATGGTACCCTACTCTAGGACTCATCCGTGTGTCCCCAGGGATTTCTAAGAGATGAAGAGGGGCTGGGAAGGTGGCTCAGTGGTGGAGTGCTTGCCTTGGATGTATGAGGCTCTGGGTTCGATTCCTCAGCGCCACATAAGCAGAAAAACCCGGAAGTAGCGCTGTGGCTCAAGTGGTGGAGCGCTAGCCTTGAGCTGAAGAGCTGAGGGACAGCACCCAGGCCCAGAGTTCAGGCCCGATGACCGACGAAAGAAAAAGAGGTGAAGCTTCCATCTTTTACTGTTAGACACAGGGCATGCAAAACAAACAGGCAAGCAAACAGAAAACCCACCACACAACTGAGTAGCGAGCTTAAGCCACCCTGCTGAGCGCTGAGACAGGGCACCAGCAGGGCGGAGACCGTGCCCAGGTCCACAAGGGCTGCGCGTGCGCACTGCAGACGCTGAAGCCGCGCGCCCTCAGAGGAGTGGGAGGGGACTGGGCATCCGGGTTCCTCACCCCGCCCCCGCTGCATGAATGAGAGGCGCGGCGCCCCCTCCCCCGCCGGGCCCGCCCCTCGCCGGGGGCCGCTCGCCCGCAGTCCTGTCTCTGCCACCTCAGCCTCGCGGTGTCCCCACGGGCGCTCGCCGCTCGCCGTCCTGCGCACGCAACTTGCCCCTGGCCCGCGGACCGTCCCGCACGCCCGTCAGAGTAAGTGAAGGAAGGAGGACCGAGCTGTGGAGGGCCGCCGTGCTCGGGCTGGGGCTTGAGGAACGGGGCGGGTCCGGGTCCGGGTCCGGGTCCGCGCTCGGGTCCGGGATGCTGAAGAACCCCGCGGGCCTGCAGCCTCCACCGCCCCCCGCCGCCCGCCACCTCCCGGCACACACACTCGGGGTGTCCCCGGGAGGGCGGACGCGGCGGACCCGAGCCCGGGAGGGATGCGGAGGAGGGTCTGGCGCATCCCGGGGGCGGCGGGGGGGGGGGCTGTGAGGTTGAGTCCCGCACAATGAGAGGCGCGGAGCTGTCACCTGGGAGGTCCCTGACCCGGGGCAGGTCCGCGGCCCCCCCGCACGCCCAGCTCGCGCGAGCCCTGGTGTCGCGTCCCCGGGGCGAGGGAGGCGACTGGGGGGGGGGTGAGCGAGGAGGTGGAGGAGGAGGAAGCGCGGGGTGGCCGGGACGGCTGCCGGCCGCCGCGGTCTCGGCGGTGGGGACGCGCCTTGGGGGGCGCGGCGTTGGCTGGCTTTTCCTGGTGCCGAGCGTCCCTCCTCCTTTCTTTGTGGTGCCTGTCGCCTGCCTGGTTGTCACCGTGCGCCTGGCAGTGGTCTGCGGCGAGACCTCTCGCCTTGGCTCCCTCATTAATGAAAGTCATGTGGAGGACCTCATCTTGGGGGTGGGGAGGGGTGAGAGGTGTGAGTGCTCCCGCAGGCCAAGGAATTAAAGGACCCTTCTTTGTTTCCTGAGATCTAACTCTCTGTGTGTGTGGTGTGTGTGTGTGTGTGTCCTATGAACTGAGAGAATCTGAGATTGTTAAACAAAAAATGGAAAAGAAAGGCGAGGATGGTAGAAACAAAATAATAATAACTTCAGACCTTTACCTCCCTTCTCCTCCTCCTGTTTCAGGTGTTATTTCAAACCGCAGTTCCTGGTTTCTCACTGTAAAAAAAAACAAACCAGTTTTGTTCATTGAAAACGCATGTTTGTCTTCTCGCGTTTGTCTATCTTTAGAACAACGCTTCTGGGATTTGGCTAATGGTTTCTAGACTCATCTATGTACAGTGGCAATACTCCATTGTACAGGACCCTGCTTTCTGGGGTTAATTCATTGATCATGTGTCTTTGTACTTGTGTACGTGTCTGAAGGAATACTCCAACATATCTAGGACGTTTTTTTCTTGGCTTCTAAGTACAGAAAGATTGTGTTTCTTCTTGCCTCCCTGTGTTAATAAGAAGGTGGTCCAGCAGGTTCCCTCCATCTCTTTGCTGTTTTTTTTTTCCTTCTTAATTCTTTGGCAAAGGATTTAATTGCTTATTACCCTGGCATGCGCCCTTGCTTTGATCTGAATTTTCCTGTGTTTTGTTGTCTGGTTGTGCAGCCCAGCTCAATGGCTCCTCTTACAGGACTACTGGAAAACACCTTTTTTCATTGTCTTCATCCCCTGAGAAAGGAGCAAGCTTTGCAGGTTCCCATAGATTTTGCTTAGTGGGACTGCCTGCCTGAATTTGTGGTCTTGGTAAGGTTATGGGGAGTTACAGTTAATGTGGACCAAATAGAAAAGAAGTTGTTAGTGTAGCCCTAGCTAGCTATTCCTTGCTATATTATTTTTAAACCAAATTATTTAAATTTTAAAAGGTAGTTGTAAGCCGGGCACTGGTGGCTCACGCCTGTAATCCTAGCTACTCAGGAGGCTGAGACCTGAGAGTCATGGTTCAAAGCCAGCCCAGCAGGAAATTCTGTGAGACTCTTATCTCCAATAAACCACTTGAAAACCGGAAGTGGTGCTGTGGCTCAAGCGGTAGAGCGCTCACCTTGAGTTGAAGAGCACAGGGACAGCGCCCAAGCCCAGAGTTCAAGCCCACGACTGACAAAAAAAAAAAAAAAAGGTAGTTGTTACTTTGGTTGGAAGATGCTTTTCCGTTTCATTTTTGCCCTTCTAACTTTGTAGAGTGTTAAGAAGTTAGCTAACTCAGTTATTTAAAAAAAAACTTTGAGGCCTGGCATGGGTAGCTCATGCCTATAAGCCTAGCTACTCATGAGACTGAGATCCGAGGATCTTAGTTTGAAGCCAGCCTGGGCGAGAAAGTCCTTGAGACTCTTATCCCCAATTAATTACCAAAAAGCTGGAAATGGAGCTGTGTCTTAAGTGGTAGAGCAGTAGCCTTGAGCATATAAGAGTTCAGGAACAGCATAGACCCTAAGTTCAAGCCCCAACACTGGCACACACATACTCCATACTTGGAGAATATTTCTATTTTCTTTTGATTCAAAATAGTGGTGGCAAAAATAAATTATATTGAATGATATGAATAATGGAGTGTTTTTTTTAGATTCTCTTTAAGATTATTTTTCAGTCACACCTATTCATTCCTCCAGCGCAAAATGAAATGTAAACCTCCGTAACATCTGCTTATATACATTTTCTCTGTTTAAAACATTTGCTTTTAATTTGAAGGGGAAAATTTTCACATTGTATCAGGATCCATTATTCTTGGTTAAATTTTTACCTTATGATGCCAAGTTCAAGTTCTTTTTTTTTGTTGTTGTTGTAGTAGGGTCTGACCTCTGGGCCTGGGCGCTGTCTCTGAGCTCTTCAGCTCAAGGCTAGCTAGCGCTCTACTACTTGAGCCACAGTGCCACTTCTGGCTTTTTTTTGCTTAAGTGGTGCTGAGGAATCAAACCCAAGGCCTCATACATGCAAGGCAAATACTCTACTACTGAGCCACCTTCCCAGCCCCTCTTATTTTGTTTTTTGTATGAGTTAAAATTAGTAAAAGTTAGCTGGGTGCTGTTACTGAGGAGGCTGAGATCTGGAGGATATTTGGTTGAGGACAGCCTGGGAAGAAAAGTTTGCTATACTCTTGTCTCCAAATTAACCAGCAAAAAGCTGGGCTGGAGGTATAGCTCAAATGATAGGGTCTCCTGTTAATCAATGCTTATCAACCCAGAGGATAATGTTTCTTGTAATTGAAGAATATTCTTTTTTGTTGATGGTGGTTGTGGGGCTTGAACTCTGGACTGGGCACTGTCCCTGAGCTCTTCAGCTCAAGGCTAGCACTTTACCATTTGAGCCACAGCCCCACTTCCAGTTTTCTGAGTGGTTTATTGGAGATTAGAGTCTCATGGCCTGGGCTGGCTTTGAACTGAGATCCTCAGATTTCAGCCTTCAGAGTAGCTAGAATTACAAGTGTGAGCCACCATGCCTCCTGAGTAGCTAGGATTACAGGTGTGAGCCACCACGCCCAGCTGAAGAAATATTCTAAAGTAGTTTTATAACACTTAAATAGTATGATAAATTTTTTAGCAGTAAATGTACTATTTATAATCATTAGAATACTAATATTGTTATTTCTGTGATGGTTGAAATATATGTTGATCCTTTGTTAACCAAAACTTGGTACCATTAGCCTCCAACAATGTATGCTAACAAAAATAAAAAAGGTTTTCTGTTGAGCATTCTTTATTATAATTGTTGTAGCTTAGTGGTAGAGGTCTTACCTAGCATGAATGAAGCCCTGGGTTCTATTCCTCAGTACCACTTACACAGAAAAAGCCGGAAGTGGCACTGTGGCTCAAGTGGTAGAGCGCCAGCCTTGAGCTGAAGAGCTGAGGGACTGCACCCAGGCCCAGAGTTCAGCCCTATGACAACAACAGAAAAAATCAACCTCAATTAGTTAATCAGTCGTTGACAGATTCAACCTCTCAACCTCTGTCAATTCTTAGCAGTTCTTCTGGTACTTTTTAATTTATCTTGTTTTTAATATTTATACAACTATTCCGTGGTTCTTTATCTTTGGATATCATACATGGTCTTCTGTTTTGGTTACTTTTATTCTTTTTCTTTCTTTCTTTTTTTTTTTTTTTTTTGCCAGTGCTGGGGCACAAATTCAGGGCCTGGGCACTGTCCCTGAGCTGCTTTTGCTCAAGGCTAGCACTTTACCACTTAAGCCACAGCACCACTTCTGGCTTTTCTGTGTATGTGGTACTGAAGAATCGAACCCAGGGCTTCATGCATGCTAGACCAGCACTCTATCACTAAGCCACATTCCTAGCCCTGGACTTCTGTTTTGGAAATTGAGAATTTAGACACAACCATCATTCATCCTTACTCATTTTACAATTCTCTGGGCTGGGAAGGTGGCTCAGTGGTAGAGTGCTTGCCTTGCATGCATGAGGCCCTCGGTTCAATTCCTCAGCACCACATAAGCAGAAAAAGCTGGAAGTGGGGCTGAGGCTCAAGAGGTAGAGCGCTAGTCTACAGCTGAAGAGCTGAGGGACAGCCAGACTCAGAGTTCAGGCCCCACAAAGGACAAAAAAAAAAAGCTTTACAATTCTCAGTTAAGTCAGTATTCAGTATTTATATGACTATGACAATATGCTACATTTTCTTCTTGTACAACTTTTGTTTCTCTTTAATTAAATATATGCTGCTTTCTTTTTTTTTCAATTTGCTTGTCTTACTCTCAGACACTAATTCATCCTCAAACCCTCTGATAGAACTGATAATCTTTCAGTATTTTCAGTTAAGCACTCCAGTTTCATTTTTTTTCCTGGGAGATGGTGGTGCTGGTCCTTCTCTCCCTTACTCCAGTGTGGATTGGTTTGCTTTCTGAATTATTGCTCAGCCCTCATTTTAGGATTTCCTTTGTCATTATTTTGGGAATTTTGGCCACCCCCCTATGTTGGATCCCCAACTTCCTGGATCATGTGTTTTCCTTATTAGTAATCTTTCTTTCTCTTTCTCTTTCTTGCTTTCCTTTTCTCCCTCCCTCCGACCTCCCCACACCATCTCACTGATACTACTTTTGGTGTTGTGGACATGCCTCCATCAAGAGGTATGAATTCTTGCCAGAATCTTTAGACTCAGGAACACAACTGGATGGTCAAGAACATACACCTGGACTTGCTGGGTACCCAGTGCCATCAGGCCAGCATCCATCTTCCATTTGCCTTGTAACAGCTGCTCAGGCAATTTGAAATAAATTACCCAAGGTGC